CGTTTTTAGAGGAGGAAAACAAGGGAAAAAACATTCTGAATGAAACAGTGGATGTATCATTTTTGTGCTTCATGCTGTGGCCACAGACATGTGATCTGATGGTGAATTTGGGGTGACCCAATGCAAAAATCTTGAGAATCCCTGTGGATCCATGTTTTGTAACTACGTTTTTGCACCATTGCAGCCCCAGGCAACAGTGGGTGCGTGATTTTTTTGGTGCAGGCTGTAGCCATGGACATGCTATGTGATCTGATGGTGAATTTGGGGTGACCCAATGCAAAGATCCTGAGGATCCATGTGGATCCATGCTTTTTAACCACGTTTTTGCACCATTGCAGCCCCAGGCAACAGTGGGTGCGTGATTTTTTTGGTGCAGGCTGTAGCCATGGACATGCTATGTGATCTGATGGTGAATTTGGGGTGACCCAATGCAAAGATCCTGAGAATCCATGTGGATCTATGCTTTGTAACCACATTTTAAGTGGGGAGCGAAGGAAAAACAAAGAAGGGACATGAGAGGGGTGTGCAGAGAAGCAGCTGGCTAAGAATGCAGGAGAGGGATTTAACGGGAGGGAGGAAAGAAAGGCAAAAGTTTTCCCCCACCCAAGCCAGCCATCTCTCTCTCTCTCTCTCTCTCTCCCTCCCTCCCCCCTCTCTCCCTCTCCCCCAGCAGCACCGGAGCACAGAGAGGAATTAGAAGGAGACACTCTGCTTTCCCCTCTGCTTGCCTGGAGGGGAGGGGCTTTCCCTGCTCTTTGTTCCGTTTCAGCAAACACAGCAACAAAACAGAGAAGGGTGGGCAGTAAGACCCTGAGGCAGAATGCAGGAAAGCAGCCGCTTCCTCTTTTCAGGTTTCCCTTCTCCGTGAAGCGCGATTTGATTTTTGCCTGATTTTTCGGCTCCAGGGACCACACATTCGCTCTATAACACGCACAGACATTTCCCCTTCCTTTTTAGGAGAAAAAATCTGCGTGTTATAGAGGGAAAAATACGGTAACTATTACTCAAAGTAAAACCACTGAGGGAGGGGGAAATGGTCAGGACTAACTAAGGCCCATTTATTTCAATGTGTCTGTTCTGAGTTAAAGTTGGGTCAATACAGCTAATGCTTATGATATCATCAATGCACCTTCCTATCCTCATAATCAGTTCATGACTTTTAATAAAAAATTTGGAATTCTAAAGGGGAAAGTAAGGTGATCCCAAACTTTGCTCTCCAGCTGCAAATGTTGACTACAGACCACACAATTTCTAGTTTTTCTGTTTCCTGATTCAAAATGAGCATTTAGAGAATTATTAATCCTACCCTTTGCAGCACCAAAGTACATTTCTGAGCAAGCTCAGAAGCACCATTCATTTCCAGGAATGCATATTACATGACATTAGACCTTTCTTCTTTAACGTGCCGTAATTGTATTGCTACACTGTTGAAACTTAGGGCCCCCATTTTAAGTATTTATTTGCTTCAGTAGGAGTGTTGGTGGTGGCTGGCAGTGACCCCTGGCTAGCATTGGAGCTTCCCAGCCACCACCACCCATTCTGGAAGACAGGAGTGCCTGGCGTGCTCTGGTCCATGGGGTCACAAAGTGTCAGACACGACTAAACAACAACAACAAAAGAACAAGTACTTCAATAAGGCTTAAGCTGCCCATATCCAATTATCTCCCTTCTGTAGACAAGCTGGGGGGCGGAATTAGGCTGATGGCTACTAGCCCTGCCTCCACGTTCTCTGCATTTATCAAAATTTCTGTGCAGGGTTGATGTGTGGACACTCCAAATGTGTAGACTCTGAATATGATATGTGAACATTTTAAAAATGTAAGGGTATACATGTGTAGGGTCATATGCAAAAGTTAGATCAGCACATGAGAGTTAGGAGCAGAGTAATCTTTTACAATGTGGTACAAATGTTTAAATTTAACCATCTCTAGCTGCTTCTTGGGCTTGCCGATCAGAAGGTCGGCGGTTTGAATCCCCGTGACGGGGTGAGCTCCCGTTGCTCGGTCCCAGCTCTGCCAACCTAGAAGTTCAAAAGCACACCAAAAAGTGCAAGTAGATAAATAGGTAAACGGTGGTAAGGTAAACAACGTTTCCATGCGCTGCTCTAGTTTCAGTGTTCTGTTGCGCCAGAAGCGGCTTAGTCATGCTGGCTACATGACCCGGAAAAACTGTCTGCAGACAAATGCTGGCTCCCTCGGGCTGTAAAGCGAGATGAGCGTCACAACCCCAGAGTTGTCTGTGACTGGACTTCACTGTCAGGGATTCTTTACCTTTACTTTTTTAGCTGTTTTAGTAAACTAGAGATGGTGGTAAATTTAGGAAACTGGCAGGCAGGGGTGGGTGGGGAGCAAATCTGTGCCTTGCTATGAGCATAGTTCCAATTTCTGCTCCAAATTTGGGCTCAGTTCATAACGGGCTTTCTTCCAGTCAGTTCTCCTGGACAGCTCCCTTGCCTCCTCTCCTCTTCCCAAATCAATGCTCTGTTGTGAATGGGGCACACTGGGAGAGAGGATAACTGTTGAATATAGTTGAGGGTATTCAGACCTCATTCTTAAGCCATGAATACATTTCATGGGGTGCATGGGACTTCTCATTTCCTATGCATACCAATTTAACGAACTGTTCATATAAGCATAGAAATTACACCTGAGACCCAGCTTTTTTTAAAAAAAGAACAGACTGGCCATGGAGGCTTTGAAAAACAGAATTCATCATAAGGTGAGCTGGGAGAGCTTACCCATCAGTATCTGTAACAAAGCATATGGGAAAAACTCCATTAGAATAAATGGGACTATCACATCATAACCATGGATGCAGTCTCAAGTGACACACTGCAGGTATGTGTACTTCCCCTGGAGTTTGTTTCTGAGACATATCCAGCACTTTTTAAACAGCATTCTATCTCATTAGGGAAGCAGACAGCTGTGATTCATTCAGATAAGAAATGCAAGTACATTTCAGCATTTATTTTACATCCAAAGTAATTTTCTTTTGCATCTTCTTAAAACGAAACATGGGGACCTTTTTTTAATACAAAACCCCCCACAAAAAAACAGCATTACAAACCTACACAGCCCTTCTTATGTGCCAGTAACTGACAACATACTGGCATGATCCTTAAGCAAAAAGAGATAATTGCAATAAATGACTGCTTTTTGGCAGCAATAAGGAAGGAAAAAATCAACTACACTCTGGGTGAAAGGAACACCATTCAGACAGAAATATCTTCATTAACATTTAGTATATTTGCATTCACCAGATGGAAAATGCTTATGGCAAATACCTTTACTACAGCATTAATGAATATGAGAGATGAAATCATAAATTTGACTTGAAGCAAGCAGCAGCAAATTATATTTTACTTTGGTTAGCAAACACAATGGTGCTTATTTAATAACAGATGCACTCTTGTTGCTTTTTGTGCCAACTCTCATTTTGCAGTACAATGTGCTTTAAGAAAAAAAAAGTGTACGGATATATGTGTGTGTGAGAGAGCTGTGGCTTTCTGGTACAGCTGTTGTCAGTCAAGGCAAAGCTATCTGTGCAATTTCATTTCCTTCTCGTCTAGCCTTTCATGACTTTCCTGGACAAGTGCACAAGAAGATCGAGACAGGAAGAAAGAACGGTGTATTGTTAAAAGCCATGCCGCCAGAGGCTTCAGCAATAGTTCACACCACACAGAAGCATCAAACAGCACTGGATCTTAAACTCCTTGGGGCAAAATGAGATTAAACTTCCAGCTCTTTTAGCTATTAGGGACTCCATAGCCTGGCCAGGCAATCTGAAGCAAAATAATTGGCTTTCAAAGTTTGGTACAAATGAACACACTGCATCATGTTGTATCACTTCCAGGATGCCACCACAAGGAGTGAGTTAATCGTAAATATTAGCATACACATAGACCCACAACTTACTAAGCATCACAATAAATCTTTCAGTAGTCCCCACTCCTCACTACTCATATTGCTACAAGGTAATGGAGTTCAGAATATTGGTTAAAGGCAGTGCCGTATGCTGCTTGTTTCACCACCCTTCAGAGGAAAGTTGATGGAAAAGTCCACTTCAGTTAATTTGCAAGGGTGGGGAAATTTGAATACTTGTTTCAGGAAGAAGTAGGTTTCATACCTTCTTCAAAAAAAAAACAAATTTCCATGGTTGGGAAATGATGGTAATCATCATCATCATTATCATCATCATCCTCTCCCTCCAGTCCACAGGATATATAGCAGGTTTCCTCAACCTCGGCCCTCCAGATGTTTTGAGACTACAATTCCCATCATCCCTGACCAGCTAGGTCCTGCTAGCTATGGATCATGGGAGTTGTAGGCCAAAAACATCTGGAGGGCCGAGGTTGTGGAAGCCTGATATACAGCCTTGGAATTAGGAGGTAGTGCAAGATAGATCAGGGATGGAGCCTTGTGAGAACTGACTATGCAGAGATATGCCTTGGCCAGTCAAGTAAAGGCATACCTGTCTATAGTATCCTAGGAATCTGATGGTTGTGATGGTGGGACAATGGAGCAAATGGCAAAACCTCTCAAGGTATTCATAAAATAGATTTACAATTGATTCTGGCCCGTTACCCCCGATATTTTTTACTTTTTACCCTGGATTCTGTAAGGGAGAGATAAATTTCTGGTCAGAACTGACCCCTGGAAACTTACTGGATGCATCAGAAAAAATAATTTATATTGGAGAAAGATATTAATTATTTGAACCAGGAAAAAAACCAATATTTTTGCAGTGAAAAGTTGATGTGAATCGTTATCACCAACTTTTAAAATAGTGCTCACTGAAGACTGAAAAATAAAATGAACTGCATGAGGCTGGATTCAGCTAACCTGGTGCACTGAACCCCCCTCTACTTCCCCCTGTGGCTCCTCCACATCTACTCTGGAGGGTTCAGGAAACTCCCACAACAGCATTTGAGGGAAGAGGGGAACAATCATATTTGCATGACATTGATTTCCACCCATTATTAGCATCTGATGCGTACTCACCATTCCGACTCTCTTCATCAATTGGAACTATTGTTGCTGGAGGACCTGCCCTGGCCAACTTGCAGTCTACAAATATGAAAATAAAAAGTTACATCAAATCGCAGAGTATGATGATGGTGGAAAAATCTTTCTCATAAATCTGCAATAGGCACGACCAGTTTCCAAAGTACTTACCCAGATTTTACCTAGCTCTTAATTAAGTGAACTCCTTGTGACATAATGGTTTTTCTTAGCAAGGTTTTAGCATAGGCTCTTGTACCTGACTTTAACAGCTTTCAGACGAGGACTGGGTTTACATGTAACACTATGCAATGGTTAACATAAACCAAGATTTGCAAAACAACAATGGATTGTGGTTTTTAGTGGTTTGTTCAAGGTTAAGGTGCTGGGCTGGGTTCAGATGACCAAATTAATCCATGGAGTCATTGCATAAGCAGAACAACAGAATTTCCCCTCTCTCTCCTGTCCCCATGTCCCCCCCCAACCCCCCCCCCAAATCTGCTCCAGAGGCTGCAAGGAACCCCAGAGTAGATATGGGGTGGGGGGTTTTTCAGGGGAGAGGGAGTAGAAGTTCTGTTGCACAAGAATAAGTTGTTCCACTCAAATAATGACTTTGTTGCATACAATCCACAGTTTATAAACCATGGCTTCACCTTACATGCAAACCAGGCCATCATCTGTACGTATTGTTTTACTAGGATGCTAGCATCTACTTGCTAAAAAATTATGTCATGTACACAAACACCAAGTCTTTGTCACGTCACAAAACAGTACCTTTCACTTGCTACTTTTAAAATTGTGTGTTGTGCAAAACAGAAGTCCTTGTGCTAAACAGAAATCAGGACAGTGATAATGTGATGGTAATTTAACCCAAAAGAATAACACAAAAGAATGATTAAAAGGAATAAATTATAATTAAAGCTTCACAACAGAAACAAACATAATTGAAATTTAATTGCAACACAAGTCTCTAATTAGAGTGACTGAACAGAATTTCAATAAAGTTCTAAACAGAGTAAAAACAGACAAGCAATTTTCAGGAAGTTACTATTTGCCATCTTACCCTCATATTGCCAGTCTGGAAGGAAGTTAAGAGTCATCAGTGGAAGCAGAGCAGAATAATGAAAGAAAATAAGTAAGATTTTGCTGTGGTTTGTAGAGAAAGTTTTAAATACACATAAATCAGTACAAGAGGTTTGAGGAAATATATGTATATTATTCACCACAGTGTAGCAGAGAAGTTGCTGTTAAGAGCCCAGGACAATCTTAACAAACGCGGTAATTGCAGTGTGTAATACTTCATACAGAAACCATCCACAGCCTACATTAGATGAAATAGTCATTTATTCTGATTCAGCAGCTTCTTGCATTCATGCAAAGCCTTCTCCATTCAACTCTGTGGAGAGGCAACTGCGGTAGAGTTTCCCTCCCAACTGAAGTGAATAGTATTTGCCGAGCTCGAGGCTCTGTGTGAGAGAATCTGCAAACCTCTACACTGAGGAGGGCAAGAGGTAACCTGATATTCATAAAAGAACAAGTAAAAGTGTTGTATGTTTTAAGAGCAATGGGCAGCAGAAGGAAAATCTAATTTGTTCTTTTAAATAGAGGGGATGGGTGACCATCTCATGATCTGTATGATTCAGCTGAGATTCCTGCATTGTAAGGGACTGGAGTAGATGACCCCCAGGGACCCTTACAACGTTAAAGAATCATAGAATTGTAAGGAAGTGAAGATATATAGTTATTAAGGTTTATCCAGACTTTAATATCTGAACTCTACATTATTTCGAAACTGACAAAATGGAAATGCCCGTTTAATTTCCATTTGATGAGAGGATAAAATAATACTACAAATGACAGGAGGACGTCAGTCCATCTTGACACTGCTTGGTCAAATCCCTATTGACCCAGTCAGTGCAACCTATCCCAACCTGCTGCCCGTCAGCTGTTTAAACAACAAGTCCCATCAAACACAGCCAGCTTTGACCATACTGGCTTGAGCCCAAGGGAGTTGTAGTCAGAGGCATCCAGAGGGCAACAGGTTGGACAAGATTAGCTTAGTGAAAGGCAGGACTAGCAGACTCTTCAAAGTCACAGGAAGAAGGAAACAGAAAAGCCCTATTGCATGAATATGTCTGCTAACTTCCTTACACACCAAACCCATTTTTCTAACCACATAATTTGCAGAAGTAAAGTTCTCTTCTATTCGAATTTTCCATCATAGATTTAGTATTAGGGACCTCTGAGGATTTCCTTCAGTCCATGTTATAAAGCAACCAACCCGATTTGCCCTTCCAAGGTTAATATACACATTCTTTGGTTTTCACACACCTTTGAATATACAGTAATCGGCTTAAGAAGACAAGCAAATCAAACCAAAATATACAAAAAAAGTATATTTTAGTTTCAAATGCATACAGAAATGTTTATTTTGGTGAAAAAATTTAATCAGGATTGCAGGTCTTCATCTACTGCAGAATGACGTGGAAATGGGGATGAATGGACTTATGAATCAATTTATGCAAAAGTGACGCCAAATGAAAATAGATGTCCCTGCCTGCTAATATTACAAATCCCAGATATCCAGGCTAAACTATAGTTCTCTTTTACAATTACATGTCACTAGGGGCATGTTTACACGGGGACCAACACACAGAAGGATTCTGCACGAACATTAGATTTTAACTATCTGCGGCATTAAATCTTTGTTACTAATGAGATTCTTTGCTCAAGTTGAAAACCTTGGACAGGAAGGTGGTAAAAGGAGTGCAAGAAGGGAGTCACAAAACAATGATGAGGGAATACTGAATTTACATCAGCTTGCAAATATTGCCAGGCAGAAAAAAAACCTGTGCTGAAATCAATATAGATGACAAATTGCAGATGAAAGACATCTTCTTAATTAAAATGCACATCATACATGAACAGTAGCAAACCTCAAGAAGGATTTCTATCTTTATATCTGTGACGCTGCTTAAAATACTGAGACAATTCAGCTCATGCCTTGCACTTATGCTGCTTGCATATCACAGCTTTTATTTTCATACCTTGGAGAATTCAAGGATATCTATTTACAAAGCAGTTTTTGATATATATTTGTTGCTACATCCTTTAGTTCAACAAGATGCACTCCATGTTCAAGAACTGGGCTTTTTAAAAATTAGATTTTTTCAAGTCAGTGAACACTGAACATATATACTGATATAGTATCTCTCTCTCACGCACGCTTTCTCTGCTTGTGCTGAAAAGTGTGTCAGGAATAATAATAATAAAAAACCACACACATTTTGAAAGCACAGCTACCACCTTACTCTTGTGATGCCTCTATGTGAAAAAAGATAAACATTTTCTTCCCACTATAATTTCATTTCCTGTTTAAGAAATACAAACAAAGACGAATAAATGCTATTTTTAAAATTTTCTATCCCATCACCAAGGACCTCAAAGTGAAGTGCATGTTATCTTATTTTAACTTCACTTTCACCATCTGAGAAAGAGTAATGTGACCATGCCTACCTAACTGTGTGACCAAGTAAGAATTACAACCTGATGTTTCCATATCTAAACCCAATACCTGTTCAGTGACACTAGCCTAGATCTTCCTCACAGCATGTTGATGTTAAATTTTCTAGAACGAAGGATCATGATGCAAAAAAAAACCCAAACAAAACAAAACAAAACCAAAAACCACAACCCTACAAGTGAATGATAATAGGAAAGACTGTGCAGTCACAGGGGCCAGACTGGTAGTGGTAGAAGAACCACAGTCTGCAGTAGGCAGCTATAGCCACCAATCATGTAAATTTCCTGCAATAATGCTCTGGTGCAGCATTGTTGCAGAGCATTGGGGGGGGGGGTACTTAAAGTGGTGGCCCTACAGAAAGTAATAAAAAAAAGGAGCTGGGCTATACATATGGGCCAAATCCACAACAGGCATCAGCACCAGTGGGTCTTGATAACAACTTGAGGTTTCTGAGCACTGACGTTGGACGTGCCCTAGATGTCTCCTTCTGCTTAATATATTTATTTTATTGTAATCTCCAATGTAAGGGGTGCGGGTGGTGCTGTGGGTTAAACCACAGAGCCTAGGACTTGCTAATCAGAAGGTCCGGCGGTTCGAATCCCCAAGATGGGGTGAGCTCCCATTGCTTGGTCCCTGCTCCTGCCAACCTAGCAGTTCGAAAGCAACACGGTGCAAGTAGATAAATAGGTACCAACCTACGGGAAATAGGTACCAACGGGAAGGTAAACGGCATTTCCATGCGCTCCTCTGGTTTGCCAGAAGCAGCTTAGTCATGCTGGCACATGACCCAGAAGCTGTACGCCGGCTCCCTCGGCCAATAAAGTGAGATGGGCGCCGCAACCCCAGAGCTGGTTACGACTGGACCTAATGGTCAGGGGTCCCTTTACCTTTACCTTTAATCTCCAATGTGTGCCTATTCATTTCAGAAACTAAAGAAAATTTAAGCAAAGGCAGTTCTGTTAGTTTCTAATTAATCTATACGAGAAACAAATGAAAAAAGATAAATGAATGGGAGAAGAGAATGAAAACTACTCCCCCCCCCACCATTTGTTACCATTATTTCCATTCCATTCTCCTAAGAGATCTTACTGAAAGTGACAAGAGGCACTGAATTGTATGGTTTTAAAAAGAGACACATTCCTAGAACAGTATATATGTGTGTTCAGATGTTTGCCAGAACATGCAAATGCTCTGTTAATAGAGGGGGGCAGGCAACACACCCCACCAACCTTCCTCATGTTGTGCAGGAATGGTCTGTAGGGGACTTCAACTCATTCAAATGGATTTTCAGTAATTATGCATGGCGTAACAAACAACTCTACACTTGGGAATGCATACATTTTCTTACTGTTCCTCATTGTTTGTTTCCATTTTTATGTTGTTAATAAAAAGTGAACTGTGGCTCAACAGAAAGCGTCAATTTTAAGTGTCAAAGAAGTAGCACAATTAAAGTAATTGGCATACTGCCAATTACTTGACCCAAGAAAGACAGCAGATTGTGATTATGCTCAAACACATCCTCAAATATATTTCATCAGAGGTGTAAAATATTTACCGTAAATGTGCCTGCCAAATCCTAGTATAACACTCATGTATATTTATGTTAAAGTGACATGAACACACAGACACACACTGAGTTGGTTACAACGTGGCGCTGATAACACCAGGGTCACTGGTTTAATCCCCGTATGGGTGCCCATTTCTGCATTGAAGGAAATTGAACTGGATGATTCATGGGGTCCACTCCAACTCTATGATTCTACCATTCTAGCATAACAATATTGAAATAGACAGACTCAGAAGAACAAAATATGTTCCCATCCTCTCAAAAACAAGTTCTTCCAAACATTAATTTTTCTCTATTATTTCCAAATGCCAATCCTTCCTCAATTCATTTGTGCCAGTTGCGTTTTCCTTCAATACAGTCTGATCTTGTTTGTAGCCTGATCCTCTGCCTCCCCCCCCCCCCCCGGAGGGCATCTCCATCTTCACAAGATGATGGGACTCAGAAAGCAAAAATTAAGCTGCAACTATCTAATCAGCAGCCACTCAATATGCCAGCTATCCCACTTCTCAATACTGCAGCCCAGCAAATGCCAACATGTTACTCTAGTTTCTACTGTAGGGGTGGCCCTAGGAAGGAAATTCAGCGATACCTCCAATTTTTTTCATGCCTCCTGATTTGGCATGAAGTGCCATCACCATCTTGGATACTTCAAAATCAACACCAATTCTGAAAAGCCATCTTAAGCACAAAAAGTTCATAAATTTATTTACCTTTTTGCACTAAAGACAGTGGTTTAACAGATTAGCATAATGAACCTCTGTGTCCTGTAAATCTTGATAGCGCACATGGCAAGCGGCAAGCACCATAGTCTAAGCTAAAAGTTGTACTGACCACAGTCTCAAAGACAATGTTAGAGAAGAGTCAGGCAATCCTATGATCAAATACAGGTTCAGGTCGAATGCAGTGAGAAAGGTTCAAAGTCAAACTGTAAAGCCAGGTTCCCATCTCTGACAAAGATCCAGGGTTGGAGTCCTAGGGTCAGTCCCAA